GTTCCAGCGCATATATCATTAGAATTTCTTTTAACTATTATGTCTTCATAACAGGGGCCAGGACATGATCTACAGGGGCACTGGCCCCCGTTGGCCCCTGTCTAGAACCGGTGATGGTGAGGAATGATGACACCGTGGCGAGGGGGGGATAAGGATCTCAATAAAATCAGTTTTTGGAACTTGGGATGTCTGAATTTGGTGTTGAGCTGTTTACTGTCATAATAACTTCCAACAGTAGTGCTGTTTTAGGTTATGCAATAAGTTCAGCCATTTGTTTAGTGGACATGAGGCTTAAACATCGATTCTGGCAGAGAGGAAATGAATTCACAAAAAGAAGAAAAACCTTTCAAGGCTTGAGAATAAAGAAAGGAAGGAACACAGCATCAATACACAAACATAGAAGTGAGTGGAAGTGACCCCCCCACGTCACGCCGCACAGGAACAGATCAAAGCTGACTCCTCTCTGTGTGGAAATGTGCTGCTCTGCTCCAGTCAGACCTGTTTTTCCACCTGCTTGGGTCTTATTACCCGGAAGTGAGCTGCTGCCTTTATTACCGCCGTGACTCCACAGGTGAGACATTAGCTGCTAGAAACTACAGCAGAAAAAAACAAAACAGCCAAACCGAGTTATTTATTACAAGTCCGGATTATTTCTGGGAACTTTTTTCTTTTCTTTCTTTTTTTTCTTTTTTTTTTTAGCAGAAACACCGGAGAGGATCGAGTTTGTTTGTCGGAGGACAGAAATATGAGGCTCCTAGTTTCGCTGCTTTTGTTCCTGAGCACCGCGACAGGTGAGCTGTTTTAAGCCGTTTCTATCAAAGTTAAAGTAAATAAGAAGTATTTTATCTATTAGAGTTAATTAACTCCATCGATTCTATCTGCGGTAGTTTGGTAAATGTAAGCAAGTGTGACATAAACCGCAATAAACAGGTGTGGCCTACAGTGAGCTTTACCTAAACTGCTTCACTTTAGTTATTTTTTTATATTAAAAGTTAAATCGAGATTTAGTTTTCCGATTCTGGTAATTTTGTAATAACTTTGAGTGTTTTATGTTGAATAATTTTGGGAAAGTTTCCAACCAACGCCCTAAAAAAGGTGTCTGCGCGAAACCAAACACCCAGCCAGCCACTCAGAGTGAGATCACTTATTTATTTCTTTTCCAGAAATGTATTAATCACTTTATGACTGATTATATGTCAAATGAGCTCAGTCTTAGTTTGGGGTATTAATAGCTGAAAATAAAAATGAGTCAAAGATTGGATTTAAATGATAATTTTAAAGAAGTAGTTCTCAAAAATAAAAATAAAAAGTAGAAAAACAAAAAAAAATTAAGAATATGATCAATCAAAAATGAGTAAAATAAAAATGTTAAAAGTCAGAAAACAATAAAGAACATAATAATACATTTTAACTTTAAATAATTGTAAGAAAAACGTTTTTATTTGAGTTTTATGTTGTTTTTGCCATTAGATGTCTTAAGTACAATATTCACAGCCAAATTTAGGAAAAATATTGTTATTAAAGATGACTGACGAAATGATTATTTTCAAAATAAATTGGTAAGTTTATACATTTTTTAATAAAATAATATATTTATAAAAAATATGAAATGACATTTAGAATAACAAAGAAAATGGTCTTAAAGTTAAATGAGAAGAATATGAAAATAATATATTAAAGGTGATGACAGAAGTTTAACTAACGCTAAAATGACATAATAGATAAATATCTGATTATCTCATATATTGAATGATTTACACAGCTCAGAGTTTGGTCTCAAATTTTTAAATGTGTATAGTCTAAGCTCAATGAAAACTTATACTTAGAGAAATATTAATAGAACTTTGATAATATAATTTATGATGAAAATGATCAGCTGTATTGTCTGCATTAGGGCTAAGAACTAAGAATATTTTGCAGCTCGATTAATCTGTTGATTATTTTTAGCCAAAGGTTCCCTCAAGAAGAGGTTTTTACAAAAAAAGACTAGGGGAAACCAAAACTGGATAGACCAGATTGACAGACAACAAAGTATTTTTTTTATCTTTTTATGCAAAATGTTTCTATATATTTTTACAATGTTGATATAATTACTGCTCTTTGGGGTTAAAACCTCACCTTCGATTAGATTAGATTGACAGATATGGCAGGAGACATCATACAAATGTGAGACTTGAATTCACTCAAATCACAACATTTAAACATTGTAAGATCAAAAGAACATCAACAATTTTATAGGAAAAAAGTCAACAAAAAAAAAACAATCTAATCTAATCTGCATCCCAAAAAACAGAAAGTGTGCTGAAAAGATAAAGCAAAAATGCTGGTCAATAGTTTCATAAACTGATTATTGGGGATAAGTAGGATGGAATCTGACACCCATGAAGAGGAATGTTTTACATAATTTAAAACCGTGCCTCAATTAAAGAAACAAAAAAGTAGGATAAAGACTTTTTGATTTGATCTCACTCTGCTGCTCGTATTTTAATCTCTTTCAATGTCATGATTTTTGTCCATTTTAGAATAAAATGCTCAGATATTCATTACACTGATGCTAAAATTTCTTCTCATAGATCTGTTAACAGAAATGTAGATCATTCTGGAATCAAACTGATTTAATGTTCTCATCAAACTGCCCTGGTACTGAAATCCTGCCATTATTATTAAACCTGACTGGGTGGATTTATTGTTGCTACACTAAAAAATATCCTGTTAATTCATATTTAATTATGTGTCAACTTTAAACACGTGGTTTGGATTTCAGCACTTTTGAAGGATTAAACTCTAGTTATTAAATGGGTTTCCCCTTCCCTGGCTTCTCTTTGCGCTCTGCTTTTAGTTTAGTTGGAAACACATCTAGTCTACAGTGAAACTGACAATCTAAACAAGGAAGCTGCTGCTATCTGTCCCACATGGAGGCTCATCTCACTTAACCAAAACCAGCTTCTGTTATTTCAGGGTAGCCTTCCTTTGAGGAATGCCTCTGGGCTTCAAAGATGGCTGCCATTGAAATGCGATTGATGGCAAATCCTTAATTGAACTTCCACAATACTACTAGGGAAATGAGGAATGTTTTGTAGTTATTTTTGTCTTTAGAAGAGAACAGAAAGAGTTTTGCACCTAGTTAATGATTAAATGCCTACAGCAGGGCTCTGCTGCTGCTCAGGCTGTCATTTGCAGTAAAAGATAGCAGTGACTGCTCAACATTTGCAAAGTAATAGTATTTGTGTTTTAAAAGGAGATTGAAGCTTCCAAACTGAGTCGGTTTCATTCATGTGATGGTTTCACCGAAATCCTCTTGCTCAGCAGAAAGGAATGAGTCATGCTTTCGTCCTCTCCCCGTGGACTCTGACAGTGAGGAGCGTGCCGTGAATGTTTGATTGTGGGCGTGGCCTTTAATCCTCTTCAGTTGTTTTCTAACATGTAACCTTTTAATGCAGCGATCTGTAAACTTTACCATTCAAAGAGCACTTTCTTTCCTCAGTGCTGCTCAGTTAACTCTTTTAGGGCCACAATTCAATAGTCTATTAGAAATAAGACAGCCCCTATTTTTGAAAAATACCCACTCCAGGATTTTTTTCTTTTTAAAACAAGCATTTCTTTCAATTCTTTAGTTTGATAATTAAAAATAAATAATTAAACTAAGATGGGTAAAAAAAAATTTTTTAACTTAATTAGAAAAATTTATTAGAACGTATATTATTGATGCATTTGACATCATTCTGTTGTGGAAGTTAAATGAGTCTTTCCAAGAAAATAGCCACAAAGTTGCTAAGATATATATTTACATTTATTTTTTTGTATTTAGATACTAAAGCATGATTTTTTTTTCTTTTGTCAAAGCTATAAAAAGCCACATGCAGCTTCATACCCATGTCATAATGGGACCCTGACTGCATTTTAATGGTAATGGCAGAGTAGAAATGTTTCAACATTGATTGTTTGCAGTTATTATACTGTTGTTATATAATATATACTATAGTTTATAAGGAAAATAAACATTTTCAGTAACATAGAACATGGGCAAGAACATTGAGTAACTTGAACCTGCAAGATATTTTTAAGATGGCAAGTCAGTGCTTGAATTTCACAATATATTTTTTTAATTGACATTTTAATTCAAATGTGTGTATACCTTTCTATAGTGACATTGTTCACTGTATAATCCTCAGCCCATAAACAACTGTTACAGGGTAGAGCCACAAACATATAAGCACATGCATGACCCTGTTTCTGGTCTAATCTGATGAGATGTACTTTATTTAATTAAAGAACTAATGAAAAATATGTTCTTACAACTGTCTTTGTCCAATTAATCCTAAAGCAGCTGACAGGAAGTCCTTGTTCTCCATTACTCATTTTCCCAGCAAAAGCTATTTCTTAATACCGGTATTTAAAATCCCCCTTTTAGAAATTGGACAGAAAATGACCTACAATCTTTAAACCGCTCTAAAAAGTTTTATTCACTATTCTGTTTTGTGCCACTGAAAGCTGTTTTTTCTTCATCCAGTCATGCACAGCTCTGATCTCAGTGACCTGTTAGTGGGATGGGTCTACAGCCCTGCTGCTGTTGGTGTTTAATGCCATTACTTGGTGTTTTTGTTCCTTTGAGATATTTATCTTTTATTGTTGGGACATTTTTGGTGACAACAGCAAAAAAAAAAAAAGCAGACGGAAGATATAAGCCAGGAACATAATTCTAGATAACATGGATGCTGTATGTCTTGGCTTAAAAACAAAGTAAATCTCTGACTCATCATATTTTTGTCAGTGAACTCTGCTCAGTTTTTAGGTTCTTGTCAAATGTAATGTTTTTTTGATTTTTTTTATTCTTCCTCCTTTTTCTGTCTAGGTGTAAGCTGTTTTTCTGCAAGTACTACAACTGAATTAGTGAAAGTCAAGGAAAATGAGGGTAAGTTTTAAAACTATTAGTAATAAGACTGTGAACGAGAGTGAAGGAGACTGGCTTTGGGATGGGAGTACAGAAACGCATGATTGACAAAATAAAATAAACAAACAGCGCCTGCTGAACCATCACACACAGTGATGGCAACTTTTGTATTATTGTTGCTGGTTGAATGAAAGTAATTATATTTCTATGGTAAATGTGGTCGTATAGAGCATTAGTGAATCTGAGGGCTTCATATGCTGATGGTGGTGAGCTATATAATAGCCATAGATGTCCTGCAGGACATAATGGACAGAGCGGGGCCTCAAACTGGTTACCCACCAGCTATAGGATAAACCCCTACCTCCCGAGTTCATATTAGCTAGCTGCTGTAGCTCCACACTAGGGATGCAAGTTATTGATTGTTGATAATCAAGAGTTGATTGATCCTTTTACTCGACTAGTTGATGCGTCCATTTTAAAACAAATCTGACTTTTTTTCTCTCTGAAAGAGGATTTTTACCATAACTTAATATTTTTATTCTAACAATATGCTAATTCTAAAAAAAAAGTAGTACTTAATAGTCTAACTATTGTGCCAGCTACCTTAAATACTGACTGAAAATTATGGTTTCTTATGTTATTGAACCAGACATATTTCTAATTTATGATAAAACAGGACTCTATTTGGTCAGATTAAAAAGATTTAAAAAACTGAATAAAAAAATAATCAAAACACAAGATTTCCAATGTACAGAGATGGACAACGGTCATTATCAGAAAGGTTGGATTTTGATAAACTTATGTTGCAGGATACTGTTTGCCACTTTGTTTTATTACGGTGGATGATTATTTTAATGTAATCCAGCTATTTGGCGCTTCGATTTGTTTGCAGTGCTTTTAAACTTGGGGCTCTGGTTGCTCTAAGAGAAATACATTAACTTATAAAAACCTTCATCTACAGTGATAACTGCTAGCATGTCTTTTTCTATCATGTAACAAATGTTTTGCCTTCTGAGCACAGTTGAGAAAGCTGTTCCATCATAGTGAGTCAGTTATATGGACGACCTTTTATCATGCAGCACGGCTAAATTAGCGCTATGTATGTGAGTACTTAAAGGAATAGTACA